ATCCTGCCTTCCACCCACCCTTCCAGCCACTCCAGCCACTCCTTCAATCTCGTACTGAAGTAGAGACAATGAGGAAAGCTAAATTATATTTGGCCGGTTTCATTTCTCCGAACACTCGGAAAAATAAACTTGAACTCTATAACACTAGTCCGACTCAAGTCTGAAAAGCCTCATGTGGCTATTCGGACTCAAAACTCCAATGTGTGTTACTTTGAATGACTGACCTTTGTTCCCTTTGGAAGGGTTTTGACTTTTCTCTCTTCTTAATTTCTAACTGGACTTCCAATTGATCAATGATTTTGTCTTTCTCATCAAATAAAGCGGATTGAGACTACCTATTGATAATAATTTCCGCGTGGAAATAGATGTAGGTGGGCGGTGCGAAAATTGTAGCCTCGTGTATTTGACAAAAGTGGGTGCTAGTTATATGATATAATAAAAGGGTTGACAAGCACTGTTTATAATAAATAGGGATTCACCCCTGTTTCGTTCTTACAATTTTATGATTTGGTATTGATTTGTCCCTAGTATGTAGGGATCTTATACCTATCCATTTCAGGCTTGCCAACTTTCCTGAATTTCACGGGGCTGTCCCTGATTCGGCAGTTGGGAATTTTGTCAAAACCAGTCCCCCTTTGTTTTAATTTGAATTTGATAGTTGTAACGTAATGAATGTATAAATACATTTTGAAATAGGTGTCCCTGATTTTGTTTTGAAAAAGTTGGCAAGCCTGTCATTTGTTTTCCGTCCTCAGATATATATTGTACTTTATTCTTTTCAGCATCTGAAGGGAGAACATTTCCTGCTTTGAGTGCTGTCTGCATTTGAACATTTTGCGCACTTTGTGTGCACTGATCACAAGACAGAGATTTGGTGTCTCTGTAGAACCGAACTGGGAATATTCTGCTTTCTGCACTTCTGAAATCTATTGGATTTTGGAAGTGTAACCTCTCCCAGAGTATACCAAAAGGTTTTTGGTTGCGACAGGTAACTCAAACTTTGTACACAATTACAGCTGTTGTGTAAAAAAAACCTTTTTGGTTGAAAATGCTTGAATTCTCAAGCAAATTCAGACCAAAGAGAAAGTTCATGTGACATGTAATTTTTATTATATGTTTTAAAATTTACCTCGTTCTTGAAATGAGGAGCCTGCTACAATTGTCATTGTTGTTGAAATAGCTAGAGCCATATATGGTGAACTAGCAGTTGACTCTTTGTTACAGTGTTACTTTAAAGAATCAATAGACATTTCCTTGTGTGACCATTAATCTAAGATCCGTTCATGTTTTGGGCAGGTTTTTAAAAAATAAAATAAAAAGTCATTAAAAGTGACAGTTGAAGGAGAGGCATGAGCAGGGGAATGCTGAGTACAACTGATTGGTGCTTTCATTTCACCATGATAGTTTGTAGTCACTAAGGTTTTACAAGAGTACAACTGATTGGTGCTTTCATTTCACCATGATAGTTTGTAGTCAGGAAGGTTTTACAAAGGGACTTTTAAACCCTGAATAAACTTACTACTTTTAGGAAGATAGTATCTTGAATGATGAGGTATCAGGTATTCTGTGTTGCAAGGAAGAAACACGGAGTGACTGAGTGAAAAGCAGGGATCTCAGTTTTCTGTGGGTCCGCGATTTTTCGCGGTTACGAGAACTTCCCAAAATCCGCCCCGCGGTCTTAACCGCGCCGGTGGTCGTTGTTCCGCCCCGGCCTTAATTCGGGCCGCTGTAGGCCTTGAGTAGCCTGAGATCGACCCTAAGGCGCCCCGCATTCGAGATCAAAGTCAAAATCAATCAAGCACAAGAGGAAAGTAAGTGAAATGTGTCTATATTTTGGTTTATTTTTACAGTTTTTGAACCGACGTGGAAAGGGGGGAGGGTGTGCACAAAATTACGCAAGTCTATCGGATCAGCCGTCAAAGTTCAGGGGTTGGCGAAAAATATCTCTGTGATCTATGGAAAAGACAGTCTTTAAGGTTGTGTCTATGGCACATTTTGCACAGTAGTACCCACAGCCAGGCAAGACAAGGCTTTAGATGAATTATAAGTGCAGGGTCCCCACCCGGTCGGGAACATGTCGGGAATTTTGTGATGGGTCAGGAAGTCGGGGAGTAAGTAAGTAAGTAATAAGTTTATTCAGTGTTTAAGGCCACTGGCCAGCATCACACCACACAAAACACTCATTTGATAAGTGTTAAGTTTCCATGATGAATAAGTACAGGTTGTGCTCATATCTCTTATCATGGGTCAAACATTGCATATATTTCTGTCACTGGGCCGAGTCAGGCTGGGAGGGATTAACAATTTCCTTTGATGGTCAAAGTGTGAACAATAGAAAATAAAGTGAAATTCATCTTCAATTTCATGAGAGTTACACCTCTCACATAAGGGCGAATTAATTTCCTCCAATCATCATCATCCAGTGCCAGATCTGCGACAGACATCGGCAATCATGGTTTTCCATTCATTCCTTTGCTTGGATGCTCTCCAAAAAGCTACGTTACCCTGATCTTTCCCTGTTACCCATTTGTGTAGGTACCCTAAGTATGTTGTTCTGGGCCTACCCCTGCCTCGCTTGCCCTCAGTTTTGCCAGTGAGAGCTAGATGTTCAAGACCGTTATGTCTATTCAGGTGCCCGAAAAATAGAGATTGTTATTCAATGGAAGGCTATGGGTTTTTAACAAAGCTATGACTCTTCTGCTCCAATACCATGGGAGATTGGTGATATATTCAGCTGTTTCTTGAAACGGAATTGTAAGAGAGAAAATATTATACTTGCTACAGACTTCTTCCTCAATGTTCTGCACAGAATGATCAACAAGTCTACTTTTTACTTCACTGAGAAAGAGTCTAGTACTTCCAACATTTTGAGAAAACCAGGCATATCCAAAACCCAGGGAAAACAATAGGTCTTCAGTAGCCCAGTTGACTCTGCCCAGTTCACAGGAACGATGTAATTACATTTAACATTTCTTTGGATATCTGTCATTTTCTAAGTGTATAAGTCTGCACCAGAATTGAATGACACGATGCATGTAATCAGAACATAAGTTGGTTCTTCCCACTTCTCTTAGAACTAAACATTTGGGTGTAGTTCTGCCAAGACCCAAAAAGGCCTTCCAGAATTTTACTTGAACATTATCAATCACGTCACAATTTTTGGTACCCCAAATTTCAGAGCCATAAAGCAGCATTAGTTTAATCTTTATATCAAAAATGTTTTTTGTTGTTTTGAAATTTAATTCTTGGTAAGAACCTAAAAGCCTTCTTGTTGGAGAAATAGTCCGTTGAGCTTTACAAGCTCGATCTTCCAGCGTTCGTCGCCAGCATAAACGCGATGAAAATGAAATGCCCAAGTAACTATAATAGGTTACTGTCTCTAAGATCTTATCCTCCCAATACCATCTCTCAGATCTTTTGAGACAGCCTCCATTTCTAAAAACAACAATCTTACTTTCCTCTGTATTCACCTTTAAACCCCACATCTGGCAGAAATCATGTGACACATTTATTTTCTTTTGTAAACCTCTGACATTGTCGTTTAAAAAGACGTAGGTCATCAGCGTACATTAAACATAAAATACCATCGTTATCATTGGGCAATACCTGTATAGCATGGGTATTTGAATCTGAAAGGTGTTTTTCAAATTGAGATGTAAACAAAGAAAATAATATAGGGCTAAGTATACAGCCTTGTTTGACACCTGATGTACATTGGAAGTATTCAGTAATAGAAGATTTCGTGGATCCTCGTTCATCTGAACAGACTAGAACACATGAAAGAACACTTTGGTACCTATTTTTCAAAATGGTATACATTGGTCCAGAACAGCCAAGACTTCTCAATACTGTCCAAAGCTTTTCTCTGTCAACCCAGTCAAATGCTTTTAAAAAGTCGACAAAACATACACAGAACCTTCCGCCAGGCTTGGAGATATATTTTTGGATGAAAGATTGGAGTGAAAATATATGATCTCCTCGTATTGTAGAATTATTTTGTCTAAAACCGGCCTGAGATTCAGGGATGAGGTTACCTTCGTCACACCATTGTTGCAGTCTCTTATTCAATATGAATGAGAACAATTTACCCAGAACATTTAGTACACTAATGCCCCTGTAGTAGGGCTGGATCCTGCTCGTCAAATTTGAGAGTGGCGATTCGCGATTCAGTCGGCTTCAAAGAATCGCGAGTACGCGAGCGCTCGCGGAACTGTGGTGGAACACTGACTGAAACGGAACAGTGTCATGTCAACGGAACAGTATTATAACTACGCCACAAGGCGAGCGCGAGTCCCACTCTTGATGTTCCGCCATCCTCTCCGCCCCACACCCTTTGTTGCGCTGCTCTATCAACTGACCTCAATTAGTGACCCCCATAAATCCCCCCCCCAAACCCCACCATTCGCTAAAACAATGGCTCCATAAAATTCCTTCTGTCTATTGGTTGGACCCCGTTCATTTTGTTTTAATAGGGGGATTGGACTATACCATCTTTTGTAAAATAAGGGGAGCCATACTAAGTGTTCCGTTCCGTTCTTGTGCTCGTGACTCGACTCAGCAGTTGGTTAAACAAGCCACAAGGTGGTGACAGCGACAGGGGAGTGAATCGGGAATCGTTTGGCGATACTGTTCCGCGTTCCGCTGAAGTGAATCGTGAACCGCGTTCCGCAGGAAAGAGTGACGATTCAGTTCCGTTCTCGCGCTCGTGACCCAGCCCTACCCTGTAGTTTATTACATCATTTACGTTTCCTTTTTTGTGCAAACTTAATATCACAGACTTGGTCCACTCCGCTGGACAGTTGCCGGTAAAGAAAACTGAATTGAAAAGAGATAGGGGAAATTCAGCCAGGTCTTGGCAACTGAATTTAGGAAGTCGGGGGAAAGGGAAAACGTATGGGAAGGTAACATTAGGTAATATAACACTGTGTAGTTTTAGTAGTGTAGCTATCTAGATATTGTGGCTGACGAATCATGAAGAAGAAACAAAATTGAATCAACTGATGGCAAGGAATACAGAGGTGAGGTATCATTGTGGAGTGAAATAAGCTTTTTTATTATAATCATCTATTGTTTGAAGACTATACTACAAAATGTACATATGCATTCATTTAAAGACATTTAGACTTTTTATCATTGATAGATGGGCTTTGTTTGGGATCTTTTTTGATGCGTGCCGGCCTTATTTTTCCATCGAATTGGGGTCTTGAAAAAATTTCAAGGATTTAGTAGGGGACCTGTAGGTGATAAAGTTAAAGGCACTACCGCACAACGACAATACCGTCCCAAGTTGGAAACCCATGAACAGGAGTGTATGTCACTAATGTACCGCACCTGTCGGGACAGGGACAGGAGTGTGTGACACTGATGTACCGCACCTGTCGGGACAGGGACAGGAGTGTGTGTCACTAGTACCGCACCTGTCGGGACAGGGACAGGAGTGTGTGACACTGATGTACCGCACCTGTCGGAACAGGGACAGGAGTGTGTGTTACTGATGAACCACACCTGTCGGGACAGGGACAGGAGTGTATGTCACTAATGTACCGCACCTGTCGGGACAGGACATTCTTGTCGCTTTGAGTCCCTGGCAGTTGTGAATTGCTACAACATCGGTGGGACAGGACTGTCCCAGTCCCGGGGAAGTGTCGTCTGTGGGAATGGGTTCCTCAGAGGGCCGGCCGACCAACAACACTCGAAAGTGGACCGTGTCACGGTAAGTGCAGGCCCTCTGCGGAACTCCTCCCGGTCTGTGATGATAGAGAAATGTAGTCGCCTACTGCATGATTGCGAAACTAGCCCAGGCTTGGTGGCGCCTGCTGTCAAGGTTGTGGCGCCTGTACTGTCGTGTTAACCTCACATTTGATGCATCTCGATACTCTATTTTATGTGGGTGGTTGGTGGGTGCTGTGGTGTGGTTTGCTTCTTCTTTCCTATCAAACGTCTATCGTCCTTATTATCCCTCCTTCTTTTTTGTGTTTGTTACTCTCTTGTAACACCTCTAATCTTCAGCACTTATATGACCTTATTGCGTTGCAAGTGCCGTAAAACTCTTACTAAAAATAATATTTTAAAAAGGCAGTCGAGCTCTGTGTTTGTGGTTTATTCCTCTCTTGCAACTTTTCTGGTTCAAATAATACTTGGGAGAGGGTAACAAATTCAAGAATCTTTATATTTTCCGTAAGCCGTTGTTAATGCTCTTCTAGCCAACCTAGGCAGTGGCGCCCACTAGTGGGAGATTTGGTCGTTTTTCTGGGCCATGGGGATCACTACTGGTAGGTCCTACTTCTTTACTTGCAAGTGCTGTAAAACTCTTACTAAAACTAAAACTGAACACTTTATTTCATGTTTCTGATTTCACGAGTAGATTCAGAATATGTGCAGTGTGCATTCTTACTCTTCTCACACTAGATGAATTGTTGGTGGTTGTAAACGTTACATTACAATAGCATTTGCTACTAGTGGTGAGAGTGTTGTGGGAAGGCTACGATATTGGCTCTGCTCTTTCCTTGAACGTAAACGGTGGTCGATGGTCGTGAGAACTGAAGTGATTTTCTTTTCCAGCCGCCCACTCGTGGCCGGTGTGACTTGCGTCTGGCCTTGGTGTTTGTGGCCTTGAGTCAGGATCCCCCGTAGACGACCTGGTCCGTGCGGAGCGGCTGACACACAGCTGACACACAGCTGACACACACAGCAAGGATGAGCTTCGGTCAGCCCAGCTACCCCCAGTACCCGTACCAGAGTGGCTATAGTGTGCCGGTAAGTTTGTGGCCTGTCAGACTGATGTTGTATTTAACTAAGGACTGACTGAAAGAACACGCGGCCTCAGTGCTTTCTTGTCCTATCTCCATGTTTGATAGGGAGTGTCTACATACACGGTAACCGGGCTCGTAGTCTCAGTATCTACGTACACGGTAACTGGGCTCGTAGTCTCAGTATCTACATACACTGTAACCGGGCTCGTAGTCTCAGTATCTACGTACACGGTAACGGGGCACGTAGTAGTAGTCTCAGTATCTACGTACACAGTAACGGGGCACGTAGTAGTAGTCTCAGTATCTACGTACACGGTAACCGGGCTCGTAGTCTCAATATCTACGTACAGGGTAACCGGGTACTTAGTTTCGGGGTCCCTTTGAGCTAGGTGCACGGTAACTGCTTCCCCCCTCCCTCCCCTCCCTCCCCTCACTCATCACTCATCACTCATCACTCATCACTGGACTGGCCAATCACAACGCTGCACCGCTGATTGCCTGTTTGAAGCCCACCTACAGCCACCCCATCGCCCAACCCCCTTCCCCCAGATACAGCTCGCTCGATCTCTCCTGCTGTGTCCAAGTTCGGGACCTTCCTTGTCCCACTAATGCCAAGTATAAGTAATTAAGTTTACATAGAAAAAAAGGGGATTGGGCTCAAGTCCCGCCGTAGGGGGCAGATGGAGTGGTCATGCATCTAGATCTACACCAGGTTGTCTATGACTATGAACTTGGATAGAGAAAAAAAGACAGCTGAAATGACCATTGTCAAACAACGCGGCCTCACACAATGCACACATGCCGGAGATGAGTTGGCACAGTGCACACACTACACGGCGAGTCGCACAACATGATACTTCTGTGAAGAACGAGGGTGGACTTTCCGGTTACCGTGTACGTAGACTCTGAGACTAATATGACCTTATTGTGTTGCAAGTGCCGTAAAACTCTTAGTAAAACTAACCTAACTAGGACTGTTTTCTATCTGTTTGTAGTGATGTGATGTGTCATAAACTTTACGCATTTGATGTGAGATGCGAAGTCTTGAATAATGTTGTGAATTTTTTTTTTTACATGCACATTTTGTTATTAAAGATTGTGGCTTTTAATACCCCCATTTTTTTTTTTTTTTCACAGCCGCAGCCACAGCCACCATCGCTGAGTGAGTTTTGTTTTGATTTGTGCCGTAGTTCAAAACTCATGTTTAGTATGTGGGTGGTTGGCAGTTGCTGTAGTGTCGTTTGCTCCTCCTGTCTTGTCAAACATCTGTCGTCCGTATCTCTCCTTCTGTCTTGTCAAACATCTGTTGTCCGTATCTCTCCTCCTGTCTTGTCAAACATCTGTCGTCCGTATCTCTCCTCCTGTCTTGTCAAACATCTGTCGTCCGTATCTCTCCTCCTGTCTTGTCAAACATCTGTCGTCCGTATCTCTCCTCCTGTCTTGTCAAACATCTGTCGTCCGTATCTCTCCTCCTGTCTTGTCAAACATCTGTCGTCCGTATCTCTCCTCCTGTCTTGTCAAACATCTGTCGTCCGTATCTCTCCTCCTGTCTTGTCAAACATCTGTCGTCCGTATCTCTCCTCCTGTCTTGTCAAACATCTGTCGTCCGTATCTCTCCTCCTGTCTTGTCAAACATCTGTCGTCCGTATCTCTCCTCCTGTCTTGTCAAACATCTGTCGTCCGTATCTCTCCTCCTGTCTTGTCAAACATCTGTCGTCCGTATCTCTCCTCCTGTCTTGTCAAACATCTGTCGTCCGTATCTCTCCTCCTGTCTTGTCAAACATCTGTCGTCCGTATCTCTCCTCCTGTCTTGTCAAACATCTGTTGTCCGTATCTCTCCTCCTGTCTTGTCAAACATCTGTCGTCCGTATCTCTCCTCCTGTCTTGTCAAACATCTGTCGTCCGTATCTCTCCTCCTGTCTTGTCAAACATCTGTCGTCCGTATCTCTCCTCCTGTCTTGTCAAACATCTGTCGTCCGTATCTCTCCTCCTGTCTTGTCAAACATCTGTCGTCCGTATCTCTCCTCCTGTCTTGTCAAACATCTGTCGTCCGTATCTCTCCTCCTGTCTTGTCAAACATCTGTCGTCCGTATCTCTCCTCCTGTCTTGTCAAACATCTGTCGTCCGTATCTCTCCTCCTTTTCCTCTTTGTATCCTACTCTCTAATAACACTTCTAACCGTCAACGTTTATTTATATGACCTATTTGTGTTGCAAGTGCCTTTAAACGCTAACTAAAACTAACATTTTCTGTTCGTTCCATTGAATAAGTAAAAGCATTATGGTTTTTGGGGTTTGCGGTGCTGTAACCCAAAATACGTTGAGTGCCGTACATGTTTGGTCTTTCCTATCAAACATCTATTGTCCTAATCTCCCCCTATCAAACATCTATTGTCCTAATCTCCCCCTATCAAACATCTATTGTCCTAATCTCCCCCTATCAAACATCTATCGTCCTTATCTCCCCTTCTTCTTTTGTATGTTTGTTACTCTCTTGTAACACCTCTAATCTTCTGGCACTCATATGACCTTATGCAGTTGCGAGCTCCGTAAAACTTGTACTAAACCTAAACTAACAAAACAGCTCTATAATAATAATAATAAATAGCATTTGTATAGCGCATATCCCCGCTCAACAACAGGCTCTATGCGTTTTATACTATATTATTACCCCAGCAGACCATAGAACACTCGGAAACATTCTCAGCTTCCCGGGAAGCATACAGTAGTGCAGTACACAAAGGTCTCAGTACAGTTTTTCGCTCCACAATAATAATAATAAGAGCATTTGTGTCCCGCCTTTCCCCACAACATGGGCCCAAGGCGTACATAGAAGATTAAAAACATATTCATACTAACACCATACAAATTCATCATGTACGCACTTTTTGACAGCAACATTCTTTCAGACAATAAAAAATGCTCAAACAAAAAGGCAAAGGTACTGTCCATTAATTAAAATATTTCTTAAATAGATGTGTTTTGAGTCCCCTTTTGAAGGTATCGAGTTTTATTTCGGTCCTCAAATCCTGAGGGAGAGTGTTCCAAACTGTTGGCCCAGAAAAAGAAACAGCTCTCTCACCATATTTCTTCAGTGACACACAATAGATATCATTACCCCAGGGGACCGTAGAACACTGAGAAACATTGTGTGGTCCTGTAGCATTTTCCGCTCTACAATAGATATCATTACCCCAGCGAACCGTCGTAGAACACTGAGAAACATTGTGTGGTCCTGTAGCGTTTTCCGCTCTACAATATATGTGAGGCATCGTATACTGTGAAATAAGGCGCTCGTCAAAATAATGAAATCAAAGAAACTGGCATTTTTCTATCCGTTTGGCAATTTTTGTTTTTTGACTCATCCCCTTTAAGGTCCATTTAAAAACACATTTCTGTGTGGATTTTATGGAATAATGTTGATTCAGGGCACAAAAATATAAATTTGCAGTTTCTAAGGACTTTCAAACTTTGGAATTCACCAAACTTTGGCGGCCATTTTCTCACTAATTTTACCTCTGAAACCGCGCTACCCCCACCACCTTCAATCGCATATATCTCAACGTCTATTCATGATAAGTGAGTATAATTTTCTCCGAAAGCAAGACGAATGGACACGCTTAAACTGATACCAATAACTCCACGTGTCCAAAAATTGACGAGCGCCTGATTCCACCGCATAGTGACGTATATCATTACCCCAGTGGACCGTCGTAGAAGATTTGATTGATACCCCCGGGGCAGTGCCACTGAGTGTAGTGTCTTTTACCCCCCGGGGCAGTGCCACTGACTGTAGTGTCTTTAGGCCATTCCCAAAGGGGGGACCTTTCTCGTTCAGGCATAGTA